GCCCAGGCTGGAGTGCTGTGATGCAATCTCAGCTCACTGCAACCTCTGCCTCACGGGTTCGAGTAATTCTCCTGCCTCAGCTTCCTGAGTAGCTGGGATTACAATTGTGTGCCACCATGCCCAGCTAATTTTGTATTTTCAGTAGAGATGGGGCTTCACCATGTTGTCCAGACTGGTCTCGAACTCCTGGCCTCAAGTGATCTGCTCACCTCAGCCTCCCAGGCGTGAGCCACCACGTCCGCTGCACTTCTCATTTTGATATTTTGGGTGTTCAATACATGGAACGCCCCATCAAGTATTGTAGGGTGAATGAATGAATGAGTCACTCAGTTGGCGAGGTCCTCAAGAGTCACTTTGCTTCCTCTGTCTCCTTTTTCCTCTTGGATCTTTATATCCCATCTACCCAGCACACACTCAGACCCGCTCCCCGTGTCTTCTCCCTCCCCCGTGTCTTCTCCCTCCCCCGGCTGGCCTAGGACACTCCCCTTTCCTTGCTGTGTCCGTGGAACTCCTCTGTGCATGCTGGGAGGACAAGCTGACACCAGGGCTTTAAGATTCTGGGAAGGGGTCCACACTGAGCTCTGTGGCCAGGCTTCTGGGAGTTGTGCCAGGTGGTGACTTGGGAGCCCCTGGGAAGGGGCCACCAGCACATCCACTGTTTGTTTGTGAAGAGGGCCTACCCGGAGGCCAAGGAGGAGCTGCAAGGCTAGAGGGCCCCTTTGCAGGGCGGGTCTGACTTGTTCCTGAATCTCCCACTGGCCCGATCTGTCGATAGGGCCCAGGCAAGGAGAGGGCAGCTGAGGAAACCTTGGTGGCCATTCACGTTCACCCAGCAGGCGTTGGCTGTGGTCTGTCCTGCCACAGTCACATCCGACATCCGCAGGGCTTGCCTCGGCATTTGTGCCCCCTGTTCCTTTTGCCTGCTATACCTTTCCACCTTCTCTAACTTGTCAACTGCTCCTCCTCCTTCAAGGCCAGCCTAAATGCCACCTCCTCTAGGGTCCCCACCCCTCTGCTTTCTCATTGCATTTATTGTGGTGTAATTGTTTGCCGATATGTCTATCTCTCTGACTGAATCGCTGACGGACAGGGCTTGCTTCCTTCCTCCCTGAATCCTCAGTGCCCAGCAGAGTCCCTAGAATGCTGTGGAGGCTCAGCCAGTGCCTGAGGGTGGCTTGTGCCTTATGATGCGGCACAAGTAATGAGGCTGAGATGTAAGCTCGCAAAGATGTGAACGTGTGCACAAGCACACACACGTGTGCCCACAAGTGCGCGCATGCACATGCCTGCCCTGGCCCTGAGTAGACACAGGCCCAGGCCCCAGTCCTAGAGCCCTATTCCCAGCCTCTCCCCTCCCCTGTCACTCAACGCCTTGCCAGTTCTTATGCTAATGAGAGGAAGCGTTTGGGCAGAGAGAAGCTTGGAAAGGAAGTCTTTGAAATGGAAATGTTATGACAAAATGATGGATTGTTTTCCGAGCTGTGCAGTTTGTTTCTTTCTTGCAGCAGAAGGGAGAGTATAACAGAGACAGGAGTGGCAGAGGCTGCCCATGTCAGCAAGCCCCAGATGGCGAGGAGCGTGGGTGAAACACCCGGGAAACTGCAGAGCAGGCAGAGGGATGCGGCCCAGCTACTGTCCAGGAGCCCCGGTCGTGGTTGGGGCCCGACTGGCCAGCGCACACAGCGGCTGGCTGGAGGAGGGGGTCTGTGGAGACAGGAGGGCCATGTGTGACCCGTCCTTCTGCCACAGCTGCTGTATTCCCACTCTGCAGGGCTCACCTCTGAGCCTCTGTGAATGCTGTTCCTTTGCCTGATTCTTTCCACCTTCTCTAACCTGCAAACTGCTTTTCCTCCTTCAAGATCAGCTGCTATCTTATCGCCTCTGACAAGACTCCCACTGCCCATGAGGCACTCAAACCCCCTAAACCATAGGAATACTCATTGACTGATCCCTGGTTCCTTGATTTACTTGGGGCTAATTTGAATTGTTGTCTATGTTACTCATTAATAAAATACGCATTGCATACTTGCTGTGTGCAAAATGCTTTTGAGGCACCGTGTCCATTGGTGAACACAGACCCTCCATC